CGCCCAAGACGGCGGGGCCGGCGGCGGCGGGCGCGGCAGCCGGCGTGCTGCTCTGGCCTGCGATGCAAGGGGCGCTGCCGGGGCCCGCCGGCGGCCCGCCGCCAGCCCCTGGACCCCCGGCGGGGCTGCCCAAAGGCGCGGCCGGCGCGGCGACCCCCAGCCTGCCGCGGACACCCTCGGCCGCCACCGGCGGGATCCGGGCCACCCTGACGCCCACCGTGTTGGCCCCTCGCCTGCCGCAGCCGCCGCAGAACCCGACCAACATCCAGAACTTCCAGCTGCCTCCAGGTGAGTGGACGCGCGGGGTGGGAGGGGAGGGGAGGGCGGGTCGGGCGGCCGCCGATCCAGGAAGTTCTGGGCTGCGTTCTGGGGCTGTGCCCGGGCCGCCTGCCTCGCGGCTTGCCCGCGGCTGCCGGCTGAGGGGCGCCTCTGCCCAGGTGCGGAGGCCATCCTGGGTGTCCGGTGAGCCAGCGAGGCCACTGGGCCACCCTGGCTTGGGTCGGCTGCCCCTGTTTCGCGGCCTTGATGCCTGTCTGCGCTTCTGAGTTGCTCGCCCAGGGGCTTCTCGTGGAGGCTGTCTTGCGCTGCTGCCCCTGCTAGCTCGGGCAGCACGGGGTCATGCTTGCTCTGAGGGCTCCCCAGTGTCGGAGCTTACCCCATCGTGTGTCAGGGCCCTCGCTGAACTCCGCTGCCTCATTATTAATCCAGGGCTGCTGTGGTGGGCCAGAGAGCATCCTCCTCCTTGTGCAGGTTAGGTCCAGGCTGGGCCCCCCCTACCCCCCAGGTGGGGAAGTCTGGATGGAAAGCTTGGGCTTCCTGCTGCTACTAAAGGCAGAGCTAGTGCTCAGATGCTGGAGGAGTTTCAACTCCAGGTTGGTCCTGAGTGTGGCCTTAGGCTTTTGTTGTTGCCATCCCCTGAGGTCAGTGTGACACTCCCAGCCAGGAGTCTGGGGTGCAGGAGGTGGTGGGATGTGGAGCCCAACACATGTGCAGGGGATGCTTTTAGTGCAGAATCTGCTTCAGCCTCTTCCTTCTCTACACTCCCTCTGCTTTGTCACCCTGAGTTCTTTGGGGCCCCTGAGGTTTGACGGGTGATCTCTTGTCCGGTATCACATGCCAAGCTGCTTTTGTTTGGGAGTGCTCAGACAGGAGCCCTCCCACTGAACGCTGGGCTGAAGTGCTGGGCTTCTGAGCACTCCTCTCTGGTACTAGTGATGTGTGCAGCAGCTGCAGCTGCTACCGTGGAGTGGCAGTAGTAGTGGATGAGGGAGGAAAGCATGGCCCTGCCACTAGTCCTCTCCTGCTTGTTGGGAAGAGCTGAGGGTCAGTTCAAAGAGCTGCAGCCTCTGAGGAGCACGTTTTCTTGTCATTGCCCATGGGTCTCAGGGCTGCTGGTCACACATTGGGATCTGCTTCACTGGGGCAAGAGCGGGGCGACATGAGAGCCAGAAACAGTGACTCTGGGTTGGCAATAGGAGCTGCCCAGCTCTGAGGAGGAAAAGAGGAGATGTGAGAGAAGCACCCAAGAATTTGTGGGGTGTCCTTGCCAACCTTTGGGCACTAAAGAATGTGCAGTGATGGGTGTTTGCTAGAAGGCTCTGTGTTGATGTTTATGTGTGTTTTGATCTTTTGGTGGAAAATATGGCTGAGTTTTAGTTGTTAGTGTTGAAAAGGTGGTTCATGGTTGTAGCCTTTTAGGTGAAATGCCTCAGTAATTTGTATCTACTTAGGAAAACACCCTTGCAGTGGTCCTGCCTGTTTCAACAGTGCCTCCCTCGCAGCAAGGATGTCCCTACACTGCCCTTTCATCATGACAGCTGGTGACTAGGTGCCCATGGCGTCCTCTCACCCGTGGCCATCTGGGGTTAGCCATGTTTCTTTCTCTGAGCATCTTACAGGTAAAGCCTATCTCTTTTTTTCTACTTGGGAGAAGGAAGACATTTGTAAAGGGCAGCCTTGCCTTCTTGAGCTGTCCTGAGACTCACTTCTGCCTTGTGTTTTAAGGTCAGTTTTAGAGCTGGCTGTGCTTGACTGGAAGACAACTTGAAAAAGACGGAGGGTTGTGTGTGTTCCTTCTCCTGGTTCTCTGCATCAGGACTCACGCATGGGGAGCAGAGAACAGCTCCCTTGCACTCTTGGAGTGTAAATGCTCTCCCAGGAGCAGTGCTTTAAAGTGGCCCTGTGTTTTCTGGGAAATGAAATATTGACATTCATTTCTTCAAGACCCTCTTCAGTTCTTTGATCAGAAACACTTACCAATTCTGTTACTTTATTTTAATAGTGAAAGCTGAATGAGTATAGTTAAGTCCACCATTAATGCTCCAAGCCAGGGTACTTGTTTCTTAAACAGGGGCAGTCCATTCTTGAGAGCTACAGTGATAGGTTATAAATACTTTAGCCGTAGCCTGTGATTGGTGGATCAGAAAATGCTCAACTCTTCTGATTGACGCTATGCTTCGTAATAAAAACATACAGACCAAAGGTGGAAGTAAAGTCCAACAAAATTCACAGGTGGCCGACAGCTCCTCATTTTAGGACCCCGTGATGCCGACTGGTGGAGTGAGGATCAGGGGAGGGCAGGGTTTCGGAGCTGCACACAGGTGTGGAGTAGGATGTGGAGTGTGAATGGGGAACCTTGCCCCTCCTCGCACCTCTCCTGGCCGGAGGTCGTGGTGGGAGAAGGCAGGGAGGACCGCTTTCTCCTACTGTCCTGAGGCTGAGCCCTGGACCTTGAGTAAAGCCCCATCCCCACAGCGCCCTTTGAGCTTCAATTAAACATCTGAATTTGGTTTTAGCAAACTCAGTCTTGATATTCTTTGTCAGGACTGTTTTGTAAGACATTTATGTTACTATAGTTGTATTTGCTCGTTTGAAGGTGCCCGAGTCTAAGTCCTACCCACTGAGGATGAGGAAAAGACTTAAGAGACGTGTGGAAACAGTGTCGTAGCCGTTGTCATGGTGTTGTCCGAGAACACCGAAAGCACTGGCTGCTCGTGTGTAACCTGGGGTGGTCTAACGTCAGAGTCGTCGTAATGTCCATGATCAGAGTTGAAAAGCGGAGAAAGTGATCTGACCCCCAAATTAGCATGTGGGTAAGTGGTTTTAAAAGATCTTTTTTAGATAGGTAGGTGCTGTGTTGAAGCTGCTAATTTTAAAGGCTATCTTGTAATGTGGCCAATTGGCACATTTCTTAATGTGCCTCCTTTTATTGTGATTTCTTGTAGGACTTACTTTTCTGTGGTTCTAGGTCCCTGCTCCAGGACAGAAAGCCATGTCCTCCCATTGGCCTAGATGCCCTGCCCTGGGGATGTCTGCATGCTGCCTTTTAAGATGATGCTTCATTAGATAGCTCTGTGTTGAAAGACTGTCTGGGGCACTGCTTCCCACCCTAGGGTGGTTGCGTTACCTGTTGTGGGGAAGGGAGAGTCCCTTAGCGGCTGGCTGCACCTTTTTGGCTGGTTCTCCTGAGGCTTAGTCCCAAAGTCAGGCCATAGAAGAAGTAGGGCTGCTACTGTAGTTATGGGAGCTGCTGTCTTGGTGGCCAGCTGTGGCTCAAAGTGCAGGTGCCTTGGTTCAAGAGATGTTCTTGGAAGTTTAGACATTACTTATGCACAGTAGCTGTTTGATCTGGGACTGAGGACAGTGTTCATGGATCCTCCGTTTCCTGGCTGTGAAGTGAGGTTGGCTATTTTGTGAAAGATGTGGAGTTCCATCCAGAAGAGGTGTGCATCCTCCTAAGTTTTGTAACATTTTCACTATTTCAAATCAGATGTTGCTGTAGAAGTTGTGAAATCGTGTAAGGACAGCTTTATTAAGTCAAATCCATGTCTAGAGTGGTTGAAGAGTTTGGTGCTCGGGCTGCCTCGTGCTGCCAGTCAAAAGCTGCTGAGGTTGTCACAGGTGTGTGCTGCCTGCCTGCCCACGTGGTGCAGGCTGTGCAGAGTGAACCTGGATGGGGGACTTGATTCAGGGCCAGAGGCCTTGACCTAGTGTTCTCCTTGGTATGCTCAGGGACAGTGACATTTGAATAGAACAAGGAGAAGTAATTTTTTGAGAGCTGTTAAGGATAGCACTAGGCTGCTCTACTTAGGGTGGATCAAAGGTGGCTTCCCTGCTTCACCGCTGGGTTGGAGGGATGCCCTTGGGGGGCGAGAGGGCCACCCCCATGTCCTGACTGGTCTCCCCCCCTGCTTGTCACCGTCATCTTGGGGTGAGTGGAGTGTCCTTGGTGATGGGGTGGGGTTGGCCTACTCTAGTCTGTAGATGTCTTGGAGCTAGTATGCCTTCTGTTCTGGTAGCAGCAAGGGCAGGGCCTGTGGGCACTCATGGGACTGCCACCCTGGCTGCTTACTGTGCTTGGTGCTCTGCATTCATGGGGGACTCCCTTAAGTCCTTGTATCTGTAGGTAGAGCCTTGTTTGTTGGGGCCCTGTCAAAAGGCTGCCTAGGAAGATGGACTCTGGCTTACCTAGGGCTTGATGGCCTGAGGATCCCCAGGAGCAGGCCCTGCTCCTATGAGGGCTTCAGTTGTGCTGGGGATCTTTGCCACCTGTCCTGACCCTTTTCAGCCCCTGCCCTGGAAATGGAGCAGCTCTAGGCACAGCAGTGGGTGTGGGTGGGGAGTGGGTGGGTGTGGATGTGGATGTGGATGTGTGGGGGCGCTGCCTCTGTGTCCTTGAACTCAGAATGAAGTCAGCATAGTGTCTGTGTGTTTCCAGGTCTAGTTCAGTGTATAAATGTAAGCTATCCTCTGTTTAAGAGATAAATTTGAAGAGTGCTTTTAACAAATAGATGGTTATGTGTGAGTTGATCAAAACATAACTAACTGTTTTTGGGAATCTTAAAGGGGAGCGATAAAAGGGCTCCTGAGATTTGGGGTAATTTGCATTGTTCTCAGAAGTTCTTTTTCTTTCTTTTTTTAATGTAGGGCTGAGAGTTGAACCCAGGGCCTCACTCGTGCTAGGCAAGCACTCTGCCACTGAGCCCCAGCCCCAGCCCACTTTCACTTTTTTTTTTATGTGGATGATAAGCTGGAGCCTTTGATTTGCTACCTGGGAAACAGTTGCTGTTTGGGGTTCTTGCCTGGGAAACTGTCTTCGGCTGTGGGTTGGCAGCCCTTTAGTTGGGCCTCTGATGGTAATAAACCACTAAAGTTAAAGCAGGTAGAAGAGGCTGGGCATTGGGGCACTTGCCTGTGATCCCAGTGACTCAGGAGACTGAGGCAGGAGGGTCACAATTCTGAGGCCAGTGTCAGCAGCTTTGTGAGACCTCTGTTTCAGTACATAAATA